TCCGTTCAAAGTACACTTGTCTTTGCTTTCTCCAAGCGTAATCCGACTTGCAAGGATTTCAGTCAGACCTACCTGTGGAATGACCCAGAGCAAGCTATTCAATCACTACACCAAATGCTCTATTGCATATAATTTTTAAAAGCACTAATTTACACTGATTAGTTTAATGCATTTTTTTCAAATACCGATTGTTGTTGTTTTAACCTTGATGCCAGTCTGTTTAAGCACCAACAACCTAAGGGTGACTCATTCCAGGCTAGTTGGCCTTTAGTGCAGCATCTGAGGGGTGGGGGAAGCACTCTTACCCTACAGCTAGTTTATCTGGGCATGAACAGACAAACTCATAACAGTGCCTCTTTCAGGAAAGTCAATGTTATGAGCCAGTGGCTGAAGCATTGTTTTGTGTAATTGAGGACAACGTGTTAGAGTGGCCACCATTCCATCTAGGTGCTGGGCCAGCCCCCAGCATAAACTGGAGAAACTTAACAGCTGCTCTACTCTGGGACAACTGCTAGCCTCTTGGGGGCTTTGTGAGCTACTGGGGATCCTGCTGTAGTCAAGAATGCTACTGCCCTCAGGAGACAGAATCTTTAACCAATGCACACTAAGAAAATAATTAGTAATCAATATTCTCACCTCACATCAGGTTACACCAGGCTGCAAGCCCTGTAGCAACAATCATATGTTCAGGAAGCAGAGACACTGCTATGGCTCACCTGCCACACAAGGATTTCTCTATGCGGGGGGGAGGGACGACACTTCTCCAGTACCATACTCTGCCTCGCTGGAGCTGAGCCTAAGCCAGTATCTGGCCCCATGCCTGGAGTCACTTATGCGCACAACTGATCTGCAAACAAAACACCCTATTTTCTTCTTTAAAAACTTGCAGGGTATATTAAGCTTTTGTGTCTACCTGCAGTGGACTCCCATAGTCCTGTTACACTTGACTCCAAGCAGCAGCAAGCTGAGGGGAACAGAAGGGCAAGCTTGGAGAACCCACCTTCCTAGAGAAGACTCAGAGCATCCTCATTTTGGAAGCTGGAGTCACCTAACTCTCCAAAGGCTAATCACACCAATCCGCACCTGCTGGCCCAGATAAAATGGAGCTGCCTGGCCTTTAGCAATTCAGTTCCAGGCTGGGATCACTGGAATAACGTGTGTTCCTCTCTGGCCAAAGGAGCCTGGCAATCAAAGGTACACAGCTAGGACTGCAGAGAGAAGAAACTGAGGACCCTGGCCTGGAGTTAGAGGGCCTGTAGGAAAGGGGGCCCAGAGAAACAGCAGTGAAGGATAAAGTTCATTAGCACATGGCTTCTGTGTATAGGGTCCCATGGTTAGACCCCAGGATAACATGAAGGCCCAAGCTCCCCTATCAGCCATAGGTAAAGAGACAAACTCAGTAAGGAGGGAACCTGAACAAAGGGTCAAAGTTCAAAGGCCCAGAGCTAGGGCTGACGATCTTTGCACTGGTCCTCTTGGCTGCAGAAGAGCAGTTGGCTGCGCGGCAGGAAGGCTGCATGGCACAGCGTCTCCTCTCGGCTACAGAAGAGAGCTTCCCTGCACAGCGGGAGGGCTGCATGGAGTGACTCCATGTGACCCTGCCCCTGCCGCTGCTGCCCGGTGCTGGTAAGTTAACAGGCAGGGTAGGACACAGCAAGAGCGGTGTACCCCAGAGCCACTGTGGCCAAGCAACTAGAGGTCCACAGCCCGGTGGTTGAGAACCGCTGGACTAGCTGATAAGTTTATATTCATCAGATAGTTGAGTAGTGACTAGTTACTTCCCTCCCCCCTTGCTGCCTCTATCAGAGAGAGGCGGGAGGGAGGGAGGAGTCAGTGCTGGAGGGAGCTGTCTTAAAAGCTCGTTTGCCCCAGCACCATCTCCATGGGGAGAGCGGGGCGGGAAGAAGAGACACACACAGTGGGGGAAATGGTGAGAGCGGGGATGGCTTCAGGCCCTGCTCGTGCCGATTTGGACTGCTGCGCTTTTGCCTTTGAAATGTAGTAAGAGCCCCGTGGGCTCTGATGACTTGGTGGGCCAGATCCAACTCATGGGCCATATTTTGCATGCCCCTAAGCTATGGCAACTTAAACATTGTTTTCAGCATGCCCTTTTTACTGCACTTAACTGCCAAGAAATTCTTAGGGCTCGTGCTAAGGCAATTTTCTGATACGGGAAAGAATATCATAATTACAACTCTGCTGAGTTCCTATCACTTAGAGCAGTTAGAATGCTTGAGCAGTCTTCTACCGATATCTTTTTATGTACTTCAAAAAGCATGCACATTTACAGTAACTCCTAAAAGCCAACGTCTGATAGCATGATTCATTACCACATGAAACTCATATTTATGGCACTATGTGGTCTAACAGCACTGGGCCAAATCCTTAAGTCCTTGCTCACTGAGGTCAAAAGGAAGTTTCAGCTGAGTAAAGACTCAGTAAAAACTAATTATGGATTTAAAAATGTAGCTCAATGATTATAGAAACAGTGGTAGTTGGGAACATTAGCAGTCTATGGTTCATACACTAGAACAGAAAATGCGTAGATCACATGGTTTACTTTTAAAATTAAACTTTGGGCCTATTCCAAACTTTTACACACTAGTGGAATTCTCATTTCTATGGAGCTGATTGATTTGCATAATTGAGATTGAGTCATTTGATGTTTGTTGAACATGCATAAACACTTTGCTGCATGCTCAAGTAAAATTGCCCGTATTTTTCTAATCAGCTAAATAAACTCTTGTCCTCACTAGGGCTGCCAGATGGCTTCAACAAAAATACTGGACACGCTGACATTACATCACAATCTATACTACATCTTATTTAGAAGATACCAGATATTTATCATCTCTCAATTTGTTTCCCCGAACAGAAAGCTCAAATACTGGACAGTCTGGTTCAAAACCAGATATCTGGCAACCCTAATCCTCACTGAATGCCATCAATATCCAAACTAGATGTCAAAGGAATCAGGTGTGCTGCAAGGTAGTACTGAGCATAAAGTAAGATTGGAAGAATGTGGCCCTATGATCTTCTTTTAGTTCAAAACAGTTTTCCCCAGGGAAATAAGAGGCCCAAATTCAGGGGTTGCAAGGCAAAGTAGCCTCCCGTTTGGCTTCAGATTAGCAGTCTATTATATTCTGTATTAGAATTCATTAGGAAAGGGATAGATATATAGAAGCAATATGATTGTTACAAATCCATAGTATGCCCACATCTTCAATACTGCAAGCAGATCTGGTTGCCCTCTCTCAAGAGGCATTGGAACTAGAAAAAGGTACAAAAAAAAAGGACATCGATATTAGGGGTAGGGAATAGCTTCCATCGGAGGAGCAATTAATAAAACTGGGATTTTTCATCTTGGAAGAGAGACAACTAAGGGGGAAGATACCATAAAGGTCTATAAAATCATGACTGGTGGGGAGAAAGTAAACATTTCCTTATTTACTCCTCCTCAAAACACAAGAACTAAGGGTCATGAAATGAAGTTAATAGGCAGATTTAAAAACAAAAAAAAGTTAGCCTGTGGAATTATTTGGCAGAAAATGTTGTAAAGGTCAAAACTACAACAGATTAAAAACCAACAAACTAGATCAATTCATGGAGAATAGGTCTTCAATAGCTATTAACCAGGATGGATAGGGATACAAAATTCTGCTTTGAAATGTCCTTAGCTTCTGTTTGGCAGACACTGGGAATGGGTGACAGGGTACAGATTTCACAATAACCTGTTCTGTTCAGTCCCACTGATGCACCTGCTGTTGGGTATGGTCAGAAGACTGGATACTGGACAAGATGAACAATTGGTCTGACGAATATGGCCATTTTTATGATTATAGAGATTATATAAAGTACATAGATACAGTAATCTAAAATTTGACATGTATATTCAACGAAACATAAAAAGTAGCCGATTTGTAACTATGACTAGTTCTGTATATAATCATGTTTTGTGAGCTGATTTTCTCTTCTCATGCCAAGGCTATTGAAATCTGGAACATTTACCCAATTAAAAAAAAAGTCCTATGTATCTATGAATTTCTTCAGGATTCATTAGAAGATATATTGTTTGAACCCCATTTAGAATGGAATGGAATTACATATAGTGACTTTACCCCGCTGCTAAGGATGTTAAGGACTAGTCCATTCCTCCTTCCTCTCCTCCTCCACTGTCTCTATCAGAGGCAGCAAAGGGGCAGAAGAGGGGGTACTTCAAAGTGGCAGTCCTGCACAGCTGAGCCCCGGCTCAGCAGTGCAGCACTGCGCCTTTGAAACGCTGCCTCGGCATTTCAAAGCAGCAGCACTGCACAAAGCCCGGGGTCAGCTGGGGACTCCCCAGCTGATCCTGGACTCCACGGGGCATTTCAAAGCAGCAACGCAGCATGGAGCCAGGGGTCAGCGAGAGTACCCTGCTGGCCCTGGTCTCTATGAGTGTGCTTCCGCTTTGAAATGCACAAGAGCCCACACTGGGGACTCTTGTACATTTCAAAACTGGCCCACCTGCAGCCTGGAGTCAGCAGGACTTCCCGCTGGCCCAGGCTGCATACAGAGTTCCACATTCCTCCTTTGAAGCGTACAAGAGCCATCACCAGGGCTCTTGTACATTTCAAAGGAGGAATGCGACAGTGCCTATCAACTAATCAAGTAGTCGATGGACAATCCTTCGACTAATAAATGAGCTACTAGTTAACATGCTTAGCTTCTGCAAATATTAAGTTCTATAGTATTCCTTGGTCAGTATTTAATTTTTTGGACAAATGTGACGCTCATCACAGGAAGCCAATATCTATAATATTGTGTGTCAAGTCAATGTCCCGCTATGATTAGATGAAAAAAATTAGTCTAGCACATTTGACAAATATTCTCACATACTTTAACCAATGCACACATTCTTTCAGCAACATACAGGAATTTATAGGCATTAAAGAGAGACACAAGGTTACTTTACTACTAATTCATTAGTCAAGCTATGGAAATAAAATTTAAAAATTTCTTACGGCTTGAAATGCAGTAAGCCAGTCTGCAATTGACCTTCCTGAAAAGCTGCTTGTTGATTGGCCAGAGGACAAGTGTGAAGAGCTGAATGAAGTTAATGATCAGTCCTGACACTATAAATATGTAGCAGATAAGAAGATGACAAATGAACTGAGATTTCAGAAAGCCAATGATGTCCATGGTTCCTTAAGAAAGGAAGGAGAGCTTCCAGAAGGAGAAAATCCAGGACTTCAGGAAACAGTCTGCAAAACCAAGCAACAATATCAACAGTTAGAAAACCAGAAATAAAAAAAATCAAATATGTAGGCAACACACTACAGTAAAACGCCAATAGTCCGGCACTCCTGATAGTCCGGCATCAAAATGGCAAGAGTCGAGTGAGCAAGCTTCGGCAAAAAAATGCGTCACAAGGTAACAGCAGCAGCAGTTGAACTGAGCAAAAAGGGTAAAAAAAGGCTTTAAAAAAACACATTACAGTATACTGTGTACAGTATGTACAATAAAAAGAGTTAACACTTTATATACAGTATATAATGTATACAGTGTGTGCATGTATAACACCAGCTTATAGTAGCTCCTGATAATCCGGCACCACCTAGGTCCCGGATTATCGGAAGTCTACTGTACTAGCATTAATATGAAGTGACTGCTTTCCTATTTAAGAATAAAAAAATTAAATGAGAAATTAAGAAAAGGCCCTAGTTACAAATATTGAAGATAGACACTGGAAAAAAAAAGTAACATTTTCAATCAATTTACATCACTTAGTGGTAAACACTTGTGCCTATGCCTAAATCCTATTGACTTCAAGGATTAAGTGCTTGTTTGGATAGAGATGGGATTACTCAGGTACTCAACGTCAGCTATGTTCAATGCTTTGCTGAATCAGTTGCGCAGAATGGTGTTCAGACATTTATATTCAAAGTAAGATGCATTATTCAACTGTACCTTTGTGAAAAACTTAAAAAATGAATAGTCAAGCAGCACCTTAAGACTAGCATGTAGATGGTATCATGAGCTTTCATGGGTACAACCCACTATCTGAAGTAATCTTAGACATGTTTTGTTAGTCTTTAAGGTACTGCTAGACTATTCATTGTTATTACAGACTAACTTGGCTACCCCTCTGAAGCTTTCCTTTTGTGATCAGTCACAAAAGTTACATGCTTACAGTCTTGAAACATTATGGACCCCCTCCCCTCCCCCCCCAAAAAAAACCACACACACACACACACACACACACACACCAGTCTCGTGCTCTGGGACTGCAATCTTAAACAAGGCTCACAAAATACTCCATTTGAAAAAGGATGCATGATCTATTGGCCATTTAGTCCCTGCTGGGGAATGGTGCGACAACTACCTATGTATGTTATTTATTTTGTTTTTAAAGTTTTGCCCCTTTACAAAAAAAGCCACTAACCTCAAGCTCCATTTTCTTTTATTACTACTAACCCAGAGTTTCACTTTTGTATAGGCGGGTCAATGTCTACCAGGCCCATTTACAAGACTAACATTCAATCTAGGCGATCTTTCAGATTTCTATTCTAATACAGGTTTGCCTAGATCCATTACCTGTGTGCATTCCATCCCAAAATTGTATGAAGTGTCTATGGATGTTTGGGAATTAGGACTCAGATTTGTCAGGTGGCAAGCATCCTGGCTCAGTGCATTAGAAACGTTAAAGACATGATCAATTTAAGCAAGCAAGCCATCCCAAGGAAATCAGTAGAACTACCCACATAACTAAATGCTTCGCTTGATAAAGCAAGTGAGCTTGCAGGACTTCATTCAATAGTGTAGTGAAGCTGAAGAAGTGAACTTTTGCAGTCTTCAAAAGGCCATCAAATCCACTCTTCATAATTTGAAGTTACTTATCAGGATCTTAAAAAGGAGAACCTTCCTCCTTTCCAGAGAAGGAAATTAAAAAAAATATATATATTGTGGCTTCTCTCCTACTCTTCCAATACAATGCAATAAGACTTGGTTTACTTATTTATGCATTCAAAGCGATCTCAGCAGCAGAGCTCTTAGAATAGCATTGGTTAGGCAACTGTTGCTACAGAGCCAGAACCTCCACAAGACACGCTGTAGATTCCTCAAAGAAATTATTTTTCGTGACAAAGTAGTGACGTTTATTAGCACAATACAGTTTTAAAAATAGAAGTTACAGCCCTAATATTGACCTGACGCTGTCCCATGACTAGATTAAAAAAGCCCCTCGATCTGTAATAGTCCTTTCTTTATTTCTCAAAGTCAGTATCAGTAATAGAAGAAAATTATTTTTGTTTCTCTGCTGATGTGTTTTGACAGAGGAAATAACCCCACTTGACAGATCAGTGGAAGGTTTTAGCTCTGAACAGCTATTTACACATAAAGCAACCCTGGAGACCCTAGAAATAACGAAGCTTGAATATTAAGACTTTGTGGACAGAAATTGTGACAGTTGTCTGGTTGGAAGCATTCAGCCAGCTAGGGTCATCACTGTAAAGCTAACAGTATCACATCACCACAAAGTTACCAACAAAACCCAAATAAAATTGCATTTTGTACAAGTAACATATGGTTGATTTTGACAAAGCATGCTTCTATGGATATTTACCCTTTCCATTATTAAATGTAAGCAATTCAGGAGTTTTCTGCCACACTGCAAAAGTATGTATGTTCTAATTTTTATTATTTAAAAACCTCTTCTCTAAAGCATGTTTATATAAAAATGCCTAAAGGGTATATTCAGATTATACCCTCAATCTACAATTTGAATTTTCCTTCCCCAACTGGATCTCAAGCCTGCTCCTGCAGGAAGCAATTCTAGACAGCGTTCTGTTGGCCTGTTATTTAACTTCAGTGAGGGTGACTATCAATTTTGGATAAAGCATGTGCTTATCGCAGCATTCAATATGCACAGCTTGCTCAATTGCTTCATGTTTTCACAATTTTCTTGTTGAGCACAATACACACAGGAAGCAGTGTAAATATTAGCGCTCGGCCGTGAAGGGCCAATTCAATAAATGTTTAATCAGAGCTCCCACTGATGCTAATGAGAATGTTGCCTGAATAAGGAATGCAATATTTGGGCTTGTGCTCATGAGGCAGAATTCTGGTCTTAGGTGTGTGAACTATCCCCTCTGTTGATTTCAGAAACATGCAACCCAGCAAAGTGCACTGTGCTGGAATGCCACCGAATCATTCATTTAAAGGAGTCCTTTTCCTCGGTTATTAAATATGGTCACAACTTGGAAAAATACTAATAAAATGTCCAACTAACAGAAAAAGCAAAACATTTCTTTAACAGCATATCCTATAGCAAGGAGTACAGCTACCTTTTTTTTCCTGTGTTTTTTTACAAAACTTTTTAAAACCACAAAAAAGTATACAAAGAGACCCATAGGAACCCTCTCTCCCAATTAATCAAACTGCCTTAATCTATCAGTGGGACTTCTCATGTTTAAAGTTAAACATAGACAGCAGGCACTGAATTACAATTGGGTGGGAAAAAAGTCAATGCATGCTGCATATTAACAGAAACCCCAGCAATTAGGCTTATCATAAGACCATTCATTAAAACTGATTAAGTGCCTTTTGTACTAGCTAGCTGTTTAATTCCATGCCACAAAAAAAAGAGTCCACTCTAATCTAATGTAATCCCCAAAGATCAGTGAGGGTTTGGATCAAACAAGAAAGCCATAATATAAAATGGAAAGTCTGGTATAATGGAGATCTGGGGGAAAAAGTCAGTTTGACACAATTAACAAAATCATGTATTGTATTAAGGGTACCAGATCAAAAGAGAAAATAGACTACTGATTCATTCTTTTCACTGTTACAGTAGTTTCCTCAGAAAAATGTTAAAGTTGAATGTTACATTTATAGTCGTATCTGCTACACAGCACGCCTTTTATACTAAACTCTGTAGGATGAAGTCAATCACTGATTAAACAAAATATATTGCAATAAGCGATGAAGACAATAGTACATTTGAAAGTCATTCTGTCTGGTTTCATCTCTCGGCCAAAAAATTCTGTTTTATAAAGCATTCAGTACACTTCTAAGACACCAAATACAAAGTCAATTAAATTACCAGTTTTTATTAGCGTATAGAACTTTGTCATAAGGACAAATTTTGGTTTATAGACACTTGTTCTTGTCAAAAAGCTTAGGAAATTACTAAGTCTTATTTCAATAGGTTCCCCCTCACTCCACAATTCAATCAAAGCTAGTGTTTGAATTTAAACATTACCCTGCTGTGTTTGGAACAATTTTATTTTAATAGTCAAAAATGCCTGTATTAAGTGTAAGTATATTGTTTTTTTAAACACTGAGAGGACAATGAAGCCGTGACTCAAACCAATGTCATCCTATTGTTTGCTATACAGGCAGTCCCCAGGTTACGTACAAGATAGGGACTGTAGGTTTGTTCTTAAGTTGAATCTGTATGTAAGTCGGAACTGGCGATCAGTTTCAGCAGCGGCTGAATCTGGACGCCAGTTCCGACTTACATACAGATTCAACATAAGAACCCCAAGCGTCCCCAAGTCAGCTGCTGCTGAAACTGATCAGCAGCTGATTCCAGGAAGCCCGGGGCAGAGCAACTCTGCCTCGGGCTTCCTGTAGTCAGCGCTGGTCAGTTTCAGCAGCAGCTGACTTGGGGACGCATGGGGCAGAGCAGGTGGGGGGGTGCTG